GCGCTGGAGAGGGGCTCTGCGGTGTGGGCAAAGGAGAGGGGCTCTGCGGTGTGGGCAAAGGAGAGGGGCTCTGCGGTGTGGGCAAAGGAGAGGGGCTCTGCGGTGTGGGCAAAGGAGAGCGGCGCGGGCGCAGGAGAGGGGCTCAGCGGCGCGGGCGCAGGAGAGTGGCTGTTCTTTCACTATTTAGAATATTATTACAATTCCTCCCCACACACCGTTTTTTTGTTGTACTTTTATATTTATTTCTATTAAGCCGGCCCCACGCTTCCTGGTTTCTCGCCTTGGCAAACCTGACGTAGTTGGTGTTCTCGGAGCCTCCTGGTAAACTCGCCTCAGGAGACTTTAGGGCCATCTACTATGCATTGCGCATGCACAGTGGTGTCACCAGGGGACTGGCTGCAAGAAGCCTGCCTCCTGATGACAGAAGAAAGGAAGATGGCAGCAACGGACCCAGCCCTCAGCAGCAGAGCTGCGTATTACAACAGACAACGCTGGATTAGCCGGGTGTTTTATTAAGGGCTACCCCATGGACAAGTACGATGTATGTTTAGTCTATATCTTCAAAACATCATTCTAATCTTCTGTATTATATATGTTTCAAATACAATGCACTCTATACCGCTCGATCACAGATATTGCTTTTAGTAGAATTGGTGTCTGTGTGGTTTTTTTTATTATTATTGCCGGTAAACCTGAAAAGGACCAAAAAATGCTGGTGAGCTACAAACCTTTTCATCACACTGTTTGTTTTTTGTTGGTCAAAATGCCTGATCTTGGGTCCTGGAGATCACACCGTATTTGTGACTTTGTAACGTTACCCTTTTTTCGTGGCTATTGTTAATGCTCTAGTCAAGTGCATCTTTATTGCTCTTTGCTGAGTAAGTAAGAACATTTATTTTCTTTTTTCCAGCACTATAGGGGCACAAGGTGGATGTCCTACAATGAGCCAACACGGGATTCCGTCCAGGGACCTGCGTGAGTATTTGGACTTGGGACTTCTAAACATTGCAAGAGAACTGTTGCTGAATTACACATATCCATTTATTTCAGCAAAATGATTTTTCTAAAATGTAGTGCACTTAAATAACACCCTTATCCTGCAGTGTATATTACCCCATATGAGGACATACCCTGCATTTGACCTCTTCTTCTAGCCCTAGGCTGTGGCATTGTTTATATCCTTCAGCACTCTGTTAATTGCAGTGATCTGTAGATAATCTCTATAGAGCTAAATAGGGCTGTGTAAAGCATCTCCCCGTTTATCTCTATGGCAGTTATCTACACATGTACTGTATGTCCATCAGGGAGAGGAGCTCTGCAGAGGATGGTTTAGGGTAGGCCACAGCTGTCAGACCATGGTGGGATGTCTTGGTGTTAATATGTTTAAAACCTTTTTTTTTTGGCTATAGATGTTTTTTGGGTCACAGGAGTACATTTAGTAATGCATTCCTGTGACCCAAAGACAGCATATGCTGACAGCGCAGAGACATGCTGCAGCCCGGAAAGATTCTGACAATATAGTAGGGATCCACCCTCCTCAAAAACTACAGCTGCCATAGAACCTTCTGCATCCAAAATGTTTTCGATTGTCACATGCCCGGTCCACTGCTGCACACTGGTTTATTCCCATGGCTGCTATGCGAATCCTGTGTCTAAATTTGAATATTTTTTTTTATATAATTCTTTTAGGTATTGCTGTTTTGGGTTGACATTTTTTTTTTTTTTCGTAAGACATGTGCTACAATTCTTGCTTCTGCTAATGTAAATAATACATTTGTTGTGTGTTTTAGCCTGTATGCTCTGTGGTAGAACTGAAAACTGCATAGAGAAATATGGAGAGAAACACACCTATGCAGAACATAACTTGACTTTGCACTATTATTGTCTGGTGAGTATTTGTCAGGGGACATCATGTGACTAAAAAAGTGTTGTTGTTTTTTTTTGGGGGGGGGGGGGGTTTG